CCTGGTCCTCATATGCCCACTGAACACTACGATGGGGCCCAAGGTGAACGAAAGGTGGAGCATACTCATGGGAAGGAATAGGCGCGGGAGAGCAGAAACAGCAGAAGAAGGAGAAGGAGGACCTCGACAAGTGCAGGACGAGAGGAGGAGGCGGATGAAGAACATGTAAAGGAGGATCGGAGGAGTAGGGGCAGGAGCAGGAGGATGAGTTGCGCGAGAAAAAAAATGGGAGGGGGGGCGGAGGAGCAGCAGAGCGATCAGGAAAGAAACGTGGAGGACAAGGGAAGAGTGGCGGGACGACAAGGACGCCGACGACTACGACGACGACGAGGACAACGACGACGACGGCGACGACGGCGACGACGACGACAACACCTGGCCCTTGTAGGCAGTTTCGGACAGGAGCACGCCGGCAAGGAAGGCCCCCAGGGTGCTGGACAGGTTGAAGACCTGGAAGACGTAGCACCTTGCTAGGGCTCATGCAGCGCCTCTTGCGCCTCCTCCTCCTCGTCCTCCTCAATTCCTTTCCTTCTGGATAATTTCTCCCTGTCTCACCCCGTGGCCAATTGTTAGGGCGGGCAGGGCGTTTCGCCTGAGACTTCCTCACCACTTATGACCCTGAAGCTTAAGCATTGGCAAAAGTTTATGACCCTGAACCAGATGGAGGGCGGGTCGTTTTCAGAATGTGGCTCTCGCCTGGGCGCCGCGACTATTCGTTTTAAACATTGGCACAGACTTCACGAATTGAGGGCGGGTTTTCAAATTGTGGCTCTCGCCGAAGCGCCGAGCACCTTAGTTGCAAAACGCTGCAAGAATTTCACGAAGTGAGGGCGGGCCGTTTTTTGAATGTAGCTCTCGCCTTAGCGCCGCAAACATATTGTCTAAACACTTGCAAGATCTCCCCGGATTGAGGGCGGGTCGGTTTCAAAATGTGGCTGCTCTCGCGTTAGCGCCGCGTACATTCGTTTTAGGTTCCTTTTCAACATGTGGCTCTCGCCGTAGCGCCGTGCACATTCGTCATCAGAATTTGCAAAAGTGTTCACGGATTCCAATGGCCAGCGTACCAGAAATTGCGGTTTTGACATATTCGAGCTTATGAAGGTGCATCAATTACGTTGATTCGCGAAGTCCAGGGAAAGGCGTTCGGGCACGATTCAGGATCGTCAGGACGAAACATTCATGTTGATCCGTGGCGTTGGAATCCCGAGAACAGTGTTTTGTCATGCTTCCAGATCTTCGAAGGGTTATCTTCCAACGAAGAAGTTCCCTCAGTGGAAATTGACTGTTGTAGGGGCTTGTGGAGAGGGAGCTTGGAGGGAGGGGTTATTCCAATATCGTTGATGACTCTTGGGTTTACACTGATCCTCCTCCTCCTCTCCTCCTCCTCCTCCTCCTCCTCCTCCTCCGCCTCCATCTCTTCGACCCCTCTGGATCCTCGATGCCGAGAAGGAGGAGAAGGAGAAGGAGCTGGGATGGGGGGAGATGGGGGAATCGGGGGGGGAAGATAGGGCAGGAATAAGGGGAGGGCAAGTACGTCCTGTGGTAGAGGAACAAAGAACGGCATAGACATGACTTCTCTGAGATCTGGCGCATTCTGTGGCACTGGACCCCCTGCCCTGGCGCGCGCAGAGCGCCAGAGGCGCCACAGGAGGGGCTTCCAAGGGGGGCGTGGGGGGCGGGGGGGGGCAGCGGCGATCCAAGAAATCCGCGCGGACCTCCGAGACAATATGCACACGCCGCTTCTTGGCTCTTCGAGAGGTGGGGGAAGTAGGGTGACGAACTCTCTGCAAATCCACTGCTCCCTGGCCAGGCCCATCCTGTGATACGCCGTAGCCTCCTGGCTTGGCCAGCAAGGCGTAAAAACAGCTCCTGCGCCCAGGAGGGGCCTTCCAAGGGGTACCAGATCCGCCACCGTGCCGCTGGGCACGGAGTGGGCGTGTCCTCAGGTCCAGTCTTCTGCAGTACAAGCTCGACCACTAGAAACCATCCACAAAAAAACACAACCCTGAAACCCCGGGATATACAGTGATGTTCGCATGGAAGCGGCACGCTTTCCATAGCAGAACCATCGAAACCCAAGAAACCCAGGGCACCCTGGAGGCAAGCAGGGTGTTTCTTGGCATGGGTTTCCACTGTAAGCCTCAATCCTCACTCATGAGGAGTCTTTCAGGGGCCCGGACCCCAACTTCCGAAATCTCTCGGGGGTTCCCGCGTGCCCCCTGGGGTTCCCCGCATCTTGCCGCATGACTGATTCGGCCCGAAGAACGCCCCAAAATGGGCCAAGGGGGCCCCAAGAAGCCCCTCACCGGTCCAAGAGGGCCCCGTGTCGCCGAACGATCGCTCCAAGACGCTCAAAATTGCCCCCAAACGGCCCAAGAGCCCCCAAGACGTTCCAAACGTAAGAGGCCTCCAAGAGGCCTCCCAAAAAGGCTCCAAGAGGCCAAAATCATAGATTGCCTTCGGCTTTTGAACATTGTCGGCGTTCTCGCCTTTTCCACTTCCCGACGCTCCCCGACGGCCCAAAGGGCCACCAAGATCGCCGAAAGACGGCTCAAGAGGCCCCCGAAAGGCCCCCAAAACGGCCCAAGAGTCTCAAAGGCCTCCAAGATGGCCCCAGGACGGCCCATGAGGCCCCCAAGACGGCCCCCAGAGGGCCCCAAGACGGCCCAAGAGACCCCCAAAACGCTCCAGATGGCCTCCAAGATGGCCCTGGAACACCCCTAAGAGGGCCCCAAGTCGGTTCAGAGAAGCATCCAAGACTGCTTCCGACGAAGACGGGCCAGGAACGTCCGAAGACGGCCAAAAAGGGCCCCGAACAATACCCCAAAGGCTCCCAGGAGGCTCCCAGCAGACCCCAAGAGTGCCCCAAGAGGCCTCCAAGAGGCGTCCTACTATCCATCTATCGATCCCATTCGCGCCACATGCGCACTCTTACCAAACTTCGACGCTGGGCAACTCAACACTCGAGGACGCGCAAACATGGATTAGCGATCCATGGATTAGGCGCGCGGTCGCCAAATCCATGGATCGGGGGAGGCGCCCTCCCCAAAATGCGGCCCGTGCCGCCTCGCTCGGCGGCGGAAATCCGAGATTTCCTGCGGAAGCGGGACCCGTCGCTAATCCACGCCCCCTTAATTAATCCATGTTTGCGATCGCATGACCAAAGCGATGCCTCTGACTCACACGCCCTGCAGCGCGGAGGCCGCCGCCGGCCTTGGGAGCTCCCAGGGGACCTCCCGAGACCCACCCGGAGCAGCCTCTCCTCCTCCCCCTCCTCCTCTTCCCCCTCCTCCTCCTATTCCTCCTCCTCCTCCTCCCTCCTCCTCCTCCTCATCCTCTCCTCCCCCCTCCCTCCACCATCCTCCTCCTCCTCCTCCTCCTCCTCCTCCTCCTCCTCCCCCTCCTCCTCCTCCTCCTCCTCCTCCTCCTCCTCCTCCCCCACCTGATACACCACCAGGGCCAGGCTATCCAGGACAGGCTCGGCCTCGCGGAAGGCCTCACCACGGGCCGAAGCCGCGCGGGGGCGCGCAGCGCCGCCCGCGGGGCGGCACGAGGAACCCCGCTGCCCAGACCGGCGCCCCCGCGCAGGGGCCCGGGGCCGCGGAGCTGAACCCCTCCTAGATTTCAAGTCGGGCGTGCCCCCCCTACAGGGGGGGGCCTTTCGACGAAACGTACAATAAGACAGGCTCAAAAAGTACCCCCAGATGGCAACACACATGCACTGCGAGCATCGTCCTCTGACTGTATTGTTTGCCTATCCTTGAGCATTCCTCCTGCAGAGGGGCAGGCCCGACCCTGCTCCTGGATGGCCCAGCCCCCCGACCCCCCGACGGCCCCGCGCGGGCCGAGGCGCCGCGGCCGCTCATCCCCCTTGCCCGGCAGCTGCTCGGGCCCCCCCTGCCCCCTTGGGGCCCTCCCTGCAAGAGGCCTCCTCCTCCTCCTCCTCGTCCTCCTTCTCCTCCTCCTACTCCTCCTCTCCTCCCTCCCTCCTCCTCCTCCTCCTCTCTCCTCCTCCCTCTCTCCTTCCTCGTACTCCTCCTACTCCTCCTCCCCCTCCTACTCTCCTCCTCCTCCTCCTCCTCCTCCTCCTCCTCCTCCTCCTCCTCCTCCCTTTTCCTGCTTCTCCTCATTCTCCTCTTCCTCACGTGTTCCACGAAGGGTTCCCAACTTTCGGCCACATAGGCGCTTCCCAAAAAGGCAGGGTGCGGCGGTGATTCGCCGCAAGCGTCCTCAATCTCTACATAGCTTTCGTCGCCGGAAACAGCTGAGAAGCGGGGCTCGCCATCGCCCGGACGTCTATATTTCCCAGGCGTTTTTGTTCGGTTCCGTGTTTTTGCTGTTTCTTTCTCGCACGACGCTCCAAATAGAGAGCCCACAAAAGACGTACGCGCCCAGCTATGTACATGAACACGGCCCCTGATCCGCGACACTGGCCGCGTGATACGAACATTCGGGCAATGCGTACTCTCGAAACCAGCGCGGATTCGTGTACGTGTACGTCCCGATGTCGCTCCTGACCAAGATGCTGGAGGAGGAGGAGGAGGCGGAGGCGGAGGCGGAGGAGTAGGAGTAGGAGTAGGAGTAGGAGGAGGAGGAGGAGGAGGAGGAGGAGGAGGAGGAGGAGGAGGACAGTCCCTCCTGGCCCCCGCTGCGAAGCACAGCCGCACGCGCCCGCGCGGTGCCCGATGGGGGCACCGCGGCGCGGGCGAGCACGCCCCGCACCGTGCCCCGCCCCCTGCGGCGACCAGAAGCGGGCGAGGCGCGGCCGGCGCGGGCAGAGGCCGAGCGGGGCGGGCACGTGCCCAGCACGGTGAAGAAGGAGAGCGACCGCAGCGCGACCTCGGCAGCGGCGGCGCGGAGAGGCGCCGCAGAAACGACGACGGCGCAACGCGGCGAGAGAGCTCGCACGACGTCGACGACGATTGCGGCGGCGTCGAGCGTCGGCCGACGGCGGCGGCGGCGAGCGAGGTCGACCTCTGGGGTGTCGAGCGACGACGACGGCGGCGGGCGATGGACGACGATGGAGTGATCGGTCGGCCATCGGCGACCGCTCGATCGCCCGAGATCCCTCGGTGGAGGACGGTCGGTCGGTCTTGCCCTGGCCGCCCCATGGGGGCTTCAAAGGGTGCCCGCGGCGCGCGGGCGGCTGGCGCGGGCCTCAGCTGCGGCGGCTGCACGAGGGCAACGCTGGCGAGGGCGCACGGCGACTTCGACGAAGGGCGCTGCCGCCTGCCCCCCCGGGAACCTACAGGGCAATTTTTAAGACGTGGGATTTTTAAAAAATATTGGATTTTAAGACATGGCTAATTTCTGAATGAATGTATGCATGATCTCGTCGTTGTTTTTAGTACTGAATCCCTGCATTCTTGATACATGATCCGCACGCGGAACATGTGTTAAAACGGCAGTGTACCCCCCGCACGAAGGCGGCGGCACGGGCCAGCACGTACCGATGCCTCTTTTGGTCTGCGCACGGCGACTGCCCACCTCACCCATCCTGGCCATGCCCACCCTGGGCCCAGGATCAAGGCCCGCGCCCTCCGGGCTCGGCCGGGGAGGCACGGACGCCGATGCTGGACCAGAGGTGGAAAAAGCGGCTGGGGTCGGTGGGGCGGGCAGCTTCGGCGGCGAGCGATGGGGGGAAGCGAGAAGGGGCGGGCCTTCTCCGGAGGCGCGGAGGTCCCCAGGCCTTCTGAGAAGTCTTACAAGCCTTCCCCGAAGACACCAAAAAGTTCTTAGAAGCGGCGAGGGCTTCTGAGAAGTCCCGCCGCCTTCTGAGAAGGCCGTCTCCTTCTCACTTCACCTCCTCGCTCGCCGCCGACAGTTGATGTCCCCCGCATGTGCGCTGCACTGTTCGCAGCATCTGGCGAGGCTTGCGCACTGTCCCAACGCACTGCGCCGCCCCCCTGGCCGCTCGCGGGTGCCCCCCCCCCCAGGGGCCGCCACACCTGCGTGAAGGACTGCTGGGTACAGTCAACCCGAGTAATTAGCAAGGGGGCGCGAGACGGATGCAAGGGCCTTGGACGCCCATTCCGACGCCTTTCGATCGGGGCGCGGCCAACGAAAAAGTGGCCAAGGATGGACCGAGGAGGCAAGGATGCAAGGGCACCCGTGGGAGAGCTGCCCATCCCAACTCTATGCGGACTGACGGTACGCGCACCCCCGACGGCAGTCCCCATCTCCGCGCCCGCCGCGTCAACTTGGAAGGGGCCCAAGGACACACAAATACAGACACACAAAAAAACAATTCCCCATATTTTCATATGTTTTCTGGGTTTTTGTCTTCCCCCCACTTCCCATATTTTCCTATATTTTTCTGGGGAATCGAGGATTGATTGTGTTCCTTTCCTCCGCCCTCGTGGCTCACAATTCGGGAGTTGCTAGGGGTACCCCCAAGAGAAGGTGCCCCAGGATCGGGGGCCCGGGGGGAGCAAGTCGAGCCAAGAACCGGGAGCGGACAAAGACTGAGTCTCGGCAAACTGCGTTGCTCGAGTCAGCCTCCCGCAGAGCAGCCGCGCGGCCGCGAATTGTTCAATTGATGCGCAGACTGCGTTGCCGCTGGTGCTCCTGCATTGCCAATCGAAGAACGCCAGCGGTATTAGCATGACTTCCGGATTTCGTGGATCGGCGCTGCAGGCGCCACCAAGGGGGCTAAGCGCCGATCCAAGACATCTGCGCGAAGCTGCGACAATCAATGTGCATGCCGCTCTGCGGGAACCAACAGGTACCGATACCGCTACTCCCCAGACCTCTCCCGGGGTGCTTGTTGACCAGGATTTCGAGGCGAACCCAGCGGTGGTGACGAGGGCTTCTCAGAAAGCCCCAAAGGGGGAAAACGAGGGAGGGTAGCAGTACCTCTTCTTCCTCTGAGCTGTTCTTCTTCGATGGAATTCCCCCTGCTGTGGCCCAATATAGCGGCCCTCCCGCGCCGCGCGACTGTTGGCGCCGCCGACATAATAAGTTTGCAACACCCAGCGGGGGCGCGCGACCATGTGTAAAATCGACGACGATTGGCGATCTTGTCGGCTCTCCCGAATCGACGCAACTCGATCATGATCGACGGTAGTCGATGCAACATCGGCGCGAGTCGACGCGATCCCATCGACTACCTGACGCTAACATCGGCGCCAGCCGACGCTAAAGACGGAATGGAGAGGGCACACAAGGCTCACAGGACTCGCCACTGAAACAACGTGCTTCGCGTATCGTTTAACCGAGCGCGGACTGGCGCCAGCACGGCGACTCTCCGCTCCTGAAAGCCATCCCGTCTCCCTCCTAGGAGGAGGAGGAGGAGGAGGAGGAGGAGGAGGAGGAGGAGGAGGAGGAGGAGGGGGAGGAGGGGGAGGAGGGGGAGGAGGAGGGGGAGGAGGAGGAGGAGGACGAGGATGTAGAGCATTTTGCTTATTGCACGTGCGTTTGCTTTCATTGCATGTCCTACTGCAGTTGCTTCTGCTGTAGTTCTGCGAGCTGGCTCGCCGACACTGGCGGCCGTGTTCGCAAACTCGCACCGTTCTGCCGCCCTGGACGTCGCTCCCGCTCCCTGGCGGTCGCCTTGGAGCCGCTAGCCAAAAAAGTATCGTTTAACCGATCCCCATCCCCAGCGGCGTGGCCTGGGCCCCACTGGCCGATTCACGCCCCTGGATGGGGATCTAGGCCGTTCCCTTCGGGTTTCGAAGGGAGTGTATCCCCAACTGGGGGGGGGTAATTTGGTGGGGGTCTCGAAGGGGATGGGGATGGGGCTCGCTTACACGATACTGATTGGCGCCGCCCATCGCCGACGCGGGGCAAGCACCCCGTCGAGAGCAGCCCCGACCGCTCCGACGCACCTGGCAGAGCGGCCGCGGCGTCCCGGGCAGCCCCCCCCGCCCTCCTCGTGACGAACCAACAACACACACCCACATCCATAGGGGGGTCGGAGAGGGCAATGGGTGCGTGTTGTCGGATGGGGGTCCCCGCTCGAACGGGAGCGTTCCCCAGGGCCTGACATCCCGCACCCATACCCATAGCCAGTACTCCTCCCAACGACCCCCCTATGGGTATGGGTGTGTGTTGTTCGTTCGTCACCTCGGGGGCGCGCAAGCATGGACTGGCGATCCACGGATGTGGCGCGCGGTCGCCGAATCCATGGGTTGGGGGAGGTGCCCTCCCCAAGATGCGGCCCGTGCCGCCTCGTTCGGCGGCGGAAGTCCGCGATTGTCCAATTAGAAACGGGACCCGACGCTAATCCACGCCCCCGTGATCCATGTTTGCGATCGCCTGACCCCCCCCCCCCGCGGCGACCGTGTTCCGCGACTGCGCGACGAAGCCGAAGGCCTGCCCCAGCAACCTCAGCAGGAGGGAACGGGGGGTGGGTACTGATGGAAAACGGGTCCTGAAACCAGTCGGGTGGATGTCACTGGGGGGGGGACAATCAACAGGCCCCCGTCTGACGGGGTTTGAAAGGCGTGCGAGGCAGTTGGCTGTCACCCCTCCTCGTTTTCCCCCTCTCCTGGGTCCAACATCATGTTTGGGTACTCCCCCAAGCACAAAAACATCCCACAACCCATGCTCACAAGACGCGGCTTTCCTCTTACTGGTCATCGCCCTCCATCTCGTCGTCGCCCCCTTCATCCCCATCTCATCCTCTCAGGTTGCCAACTCCTCCAAGGCATATCCCGACAGGCCACCAGGCTTGGCAAAGGGGACCCAAGAGACGCACAGGTGGACGCAGAATCTACACACGACGGGCCCCATGCACGATGCAAGAGGCGCTCAAGAGGGCCTGGCCTCAGGGACCGTAAAGAGGAGCCCTGGAGAGCAACTCGGAGAGGCACCAGGGCCCAGCCCCCACGAGTGTGCCTCCCAGGTCGGCCCCCTCATCTACTCCTCCTCCTCCTCCTCCTCCTCCTCCTCCTCCTTCTCCTCCTCCTCCTCCTCTTCCTTCTCCGCCGACCCTCTTCCGCCCACCGGACCCCCTCTGTTCCGTCCGATAAGCATCTCACGCGCGACGCGCCACACGTTTTCAGCTCTCCCTCCCGAGCTGCGCAAGAGAAGTGAGCCCCAATTCGCGGAGCATCGACGGCGCGGCCGCCACATCTTCCCAAGTGCCCCTACGAGGCCCAGGCAAAAAACCAGAAGAGCACCCAGGAACCCACAGGACACCTGAAAAGCCTCCCCCCTTGGGCCCCCCACGAGGCCCCCAGGAAGTCCCTCAGCAGGCGCAAAGGAATGGAGAACGATAAAGGGGCCCGGGGGGACCCACATGAATCAACACGAATTCAAGAATTTCCCATACTGTTCCATGCTTCCGGGTGGTTCCTGCTCCCCCTTCATGCCCCGGCTTTTCGCACACCTCTCATCAACAAGCCAACGATGATCAGTGCAACACAGCGGCCAAGGAACAAAAAAAACACCTCCTACATCGGTAACCGCACACCTCTTCTTCTTCTTCTTCTTGCCGTCGCTCGGACGTCCATCACCCGTGCCTTTTTTGGTTTCGTGTGTGTTTTTTTGCTCGATGGTCCAGGATGGTCCTCGATGGTTCTCGCCGAGAAAAAATGCACACGTCGGAGCGATGCCAAGAGAACATCAGACACCACTGCGGCCCCACGGGGTGCTGGAACAGTGCGCCACATCCCCCCCCTTACCGTCCGCCTGCTCTGGGGAGACCAAAAAGTACCCATGCCGCTGCTCCCAGGAACTCTCCTCTGGGGAGCGTTCTGAACAGGATCTCGAGGCGAACCCGGCGGTGGCGACGAGGGCCGCCCAGGAGGCCCCCACAAGTGGAAGACGAGGGAAGGGCAGATCGAGGTGTGGGCACCTCCTTTTCCCCCTCTGCTGCTCGAACCCTGGGGCCTCTTCCACCCCGAGCCGCCGTTGCTTCGACGGCCCCCTCCGGGGCCCCACGGGAGGCCGACGGCGGCAGCAGAAACACAGGCACCACGCGTCTCCTCCAGGACGCGTTTTTTTTCTGTGCCTGGCGGCGCGCGCAGAGGGGTAGCCTTGGGTCGGGCATGTCCTCCTACGCCTACAGGTGGGCTTTGAGGGCCAATCACACTGACACAGATCCCAAGAAGACTCTCAAGGTAGTCCCCAGATGGCACGACGCATCGCCCCCAGACTATCTTGTGACTGTTCTTGAATGCTCCTCCTGTGGAGGGGCATGCCCGACAGAAGAGCAGCACGAGGGGGAAGGCCTCCTTCCAAAAGGGCTTCTCTTAAGCTCCCGGGCCCCTCCAAGAACACAGGCCCCTCCAGCTTCCAAGAAGACCCACCCTTGCCTTAGGTCGGGCCTGTCCCTCTAAAGGCGGATCTTGAACGAAAAACAAAAATAATCAAACAAACAAATACCCCCACAATGCTCAAACATAATACCAAAAATCGTCCCCAGGGATTTTGTGACTATCTTTGAATATTCCCCCTGTAAAGGGACAGGCCCGACCTCACCCTTGCCTCCTGTGAGAAGGCCACCCCCCGCCCACGCCACCCCCTTTGACGCGCGCCGCGGGCTCCAGGGACGGCACAAGCTGCTCCGCAGACCGCTCCCACGGTCCACTCTGACCAGCACTTCGAGGGGGGGAATGCAGCCGTGGCGACGAGGGCCTTGCAGAACGAGCAGCGGCATCGGTACCTCCTCCTCCTCCGCCTCCTCCTCCACCTCCTCCTCCTCCTCCGCCTCCTCCTCCTGCGAGGCTCAGGACGGCAACCACTTGCCGCCCACGAACAGCGGGGACAACGCCAGCACCGCATTGATGCCGGCGTCCTTCATCGCCCCGACGAGCGCCGGGATGCCTCTCGGGCGGCGGGCGCGGCCGCGCGGCGTCCGAAGCGTGGCCTTCGCGCGGGCGACTTGGCGGCGAGCATTCGGGGAGGGCGACGAGGAGGCTGCCGGGGCCAGGGCGAGGGAGGATGGGGGCGGGGAAGGAGGGGCGGAAACGAGGTAGTGGAGGAAGGAGGGGAGGAAAACCGAGAGGAAGGCGACGAGCAGGAGGAGGAGGAGGAGGAGGAGGAGGAGGAGGAAAAACCCTTTCAAGATCGCTACAGGCTGCATCCTTGAGCCGGGCTAACGTCAAAGGAGGTGGAGGAGGAGGAGGAGGAGGAGGAGGAGGAGGGTGAGGAGGAGGATGAGGAGGAATCCTTCCAAGATCGCTACAGGCTGCATCCTTAAGCCGGGCTAACGTAAAAGGAGGAGGAGGAGGAGGAGGAGGAGAAGAGGAGCAGGAGGAGGAAGAAAGAATTGAGGGAGGAAGGCGTAACCATACCCGCACCCGTTCACCAGGGCCCCCTGCCGGACGGGTGGAATCAGGACGGGGCCACGCCTGGCGGTTCATGGGGGGCGGACCCTTCAGAATGGAGAGGGTGTGCAGGAGGTGGGAGTCGAAATAATGGCGGTAGAGTCGCGGGGGAGTCGCGAGGCGTCGCTAGTCCAGGTGGAGCCGGGTCGAGACAGTAGCGGTGATAGTTGTCGTAGGTTGATGGTGGAGTCGAGGTAGCAGTGTAGCAAGAGTCGCAGTATTGACCATGAAAGCTCAAGATCGTCGCTGCCAGGAGCAATCTTAGACTCACGGACAGCGGCGCCGTGCAATATCTTATTATCACTGTTATGATCCCTCCGCTTCTTCTTCTTATTCTCCTTTCTCTGTCTCTGTCTCTCTCTCTCTCGGGCGCGCGGGACAAAAGCCTTGCCCGACACTGAGGATGGGGAGCAACACCAGCAGGAGCGGCACGACGAGATCCTGGAACAGCGGCGGCATCATCATCTTCATTGTCATAACCATCATCGTCAGCGTCTCAATTGACATGATCATGATCATGATCATGCACATGGTCAGGTTCATGTTTAGCATGATCATCCGCATGACCACCACCCATTATCCTAAGCATCTGCATCACCATCATCATCGCCACCATCACCATTATCATAATCCTCAACATCATCTTGACCACCATCACCCTAATCCTCATCCTCATCCTCATCCTACTCCCCCTCCTCCTCATCATTATCAGCATCAGCAAACACATCACCATCGTCATAATCGTCATCAGCATCAGCATCATCATCCTTATCCTCATCCTCATCCTCATCCTCATCATCGACACCACTATCACCATCACCATCCTCATCCTCATCCTCAGCCTCATTCTGATTTTCATCCTCATCCTCACCCTCATCCTCGTCATCCTTATCATCATCCTCATCCTCATAATCCTCCTCATTCGCCTCATCATCCTCCTCATCCTCCTGATTATCATCACCATCGGCATCGCCATCATCACCAGCATCATCATTTTCGAAATCATCAGCATCATCATCGGCATCATCATCTTTATCGTGACCAGCAGCATCATCATCAGCATCATCAGCAGCATCATCATCAGCAACATCAACATCATCATCCCCATCCTCATCACCGGCGGCAGCCACATCATCGATCCCTTCACACAGTCATCAGCGGCGGCAACGCACGGTCCTGGAACAGCAATATGCCGAAAGCGGACCGCCCGTACACCGTACCGCGCTCCTCGCCAGGGGAGGGGGGGCTGGGGAAGACCGACGATCGAGAGCACCCAACCCGAAGGAGCTTTCCGAGGCCAACGGTTGAACATAGAGCAAACAAGCACGGCATAAACGTAAACTTTCGGAGGTGCACGCGGATTTCTTAGATCAGCGCTGGTCCCCGCACTCACCGTGACTGGCGCCTCCCCTAGCGCGCCGCTCCGCGCGCCAGGGATGGGGGGTTCAGAGACGAGCTAAGATCTCCGCGCGGACCTGCGAAAATCTATGTTCATGCCGTTTTGCCGACTCGAGCAAGAGTCGGGGCTGGAGAATCGGAGTGTCTTTCTACAGTAGATTCGTGCGGCGTCGGCGCGCGCAAAGGTTGCTGACACCGCGTCGATCGTTCAACCTTGAACCGATCGCCGCCCCGATCGTTCAAGGTTGAATTCCGTCTGGTCTCGTGGCGTCACCATGTCCCTCGGTGCTTCCGCGTCGCTCGGAGCTCAGACTTGAGCGCCTTCGCCGGCGTCGCCGGCGCACCATCGCCGCCGCATGAGCCTATACCGCGCCTGGCGTGTCTGGTCACTCGTGTGCCGCCAGAGGTCTCCGGAAGCCTCCAGGGACCTCCGAGGACTTCGGGGAAGCCCCGCAGGCCTCCTCCCGAGGCCGCGACCTCCGACGCAGCGTGCTCTGCTGTCCTGGCGAGGCTCGGACCTTTTTTCTCCTCGGCCTCTGCAGGCGGCCCGTCTCGTACCCCACGCCTGCCAAGCAGCGATCCAGCAGTGAAGACCGGTCCTTGGGAGGCAAGCGGGCGCGGGGTCCAGGGACTGCACTCGGGCGTTGGCAGAACTGGGTTTAGTGGGGCCTGGTTTAGTGATGTGTACTGGGGGACGCCCCCCCCGCCCCATTTCACTAACTGGAGCTGCCGTCACCCGAAAAAACACCAGCCACGGCAGACCTGGTTTAGTGATTTTGGCCAGGTTAGGGGCTCTGGGGCCCTGCTACTAACAGGGTCCCTTTACCTAGGGTCCTGGCGATACCCGATGCATGGCCGGTCCCAGACTGGCACCTCTTGGAACGCCAATGCTTGGTTTCGCGGGCTCCGGCCAGCTTCAGCCGGCGGAGGCGGCCCCGTTTCACTTCCGCCGCCTCCTGCCTGGGAAGAGGTGTTGGTCTCTCCAGCGAACACTTTTCTGGAGAAGGAGATATCGAATGCGAACGATCCACCGGCGTGTGAGTTTGCGAGAGCGTGGGCTTGAGCTCGCTCAAGCTGCGCTCTGGATAAGGGGGGGGCGAATGCCAACGGAATTCAGTGAACGCAAAGGCTCTGGAAAGGGGGGGGGACGACTTCCAACGGAATTCAGTGAACGCACAAGCTCTGGAGAGGGGGGGGGGACGCTTCGCTCTGGAGACGGGGGGGGAGGGGTGAATTCCAACGGAACTCACTGAACGCGCAAGCTCCGGAGAGGGGGAGGGGGACGCTTCGCTCTGGAAAAAGGGAGGGATGAATCCCAACGGAATTCACTGAACGCACAAGCTCTGGAGAGGGGGGGGAGGAGACGAATTCAAACGGAACTCGCTGAACGCACAAGCCCCCCGCCTCCCACACATACCCACTTTCCAATTTTCTCCGAGAGGCATCTTCTTCTCTGACCCCCCCCCCGCCAACACCCCCCCCAAAATCCACCGATCCGGCGTGTGAGTTTGTGAGGGCATGGGCTTGAGCTCGCTCAAGCTTCGCTCTGGAGAGGGGGGGAATTCAAACGGAATTCACTGAACGCACAAACCCCCCGCCTCCCACACATACCCACTTCCCCCTTCTCTGAGAGGCATCTTCTTCTCTGACCCCCCCCCGACAGCGCCCCCCAACAAAATTTCGCAGATCCGGTGTGTGAGTTTGTGAGAGCATGGGCTTGAGCTCGCTCAAGCTTCGCTCTGGAGAGGGGGGGTGGGGGTGGCGAATTCCAACGGAATTCACTGATCGCACAAGCTCCCCCCCCCCCCCACACACACACACAACACACCCACACACACACTCTCTGAAGTGCTATATGCTAGATCCGTGAACTTCAGCACGCGGCCCAAGACGTCCCCCGAGACACCGTTGATCCCCACGAGGGTGTGGTGAGCGAAGCTCGTATCTGAATACACGTACTGACAATCATAATCAAGCGAGCTTTTCTCCAGGAGAAGCTCTCATCTCATGGAAAGCAAACTGTTCAGACCCACGTGTGTGCGCCCGCTCGTGGCGGGCTTGAGCGCTAGCCTAAACCTGAACAGCTGCTGGCGGCGGTGCTGGGGTCGGCGCGGGCAAGGGTCGCACGGCGCTGACTGCAGAGGTGAGCTGAAAAACATGCAAGATGAAAACACTAAGAAAACACACGCACACGCACACACAGACCGTCCCAAGACTTCTGCAGGGAGGGATTTACAAGCTAGCAAACCTAAAAACGCGGGTTCAGGTGAGCCAGTCAGGCCCAGGGGCCCCAGCGGGTGACCAGGGGCCCCCACGGAGCTCGTGCCCGAAAGGCCTCGGAATTAGGAGTGCGGCACAACCTGCAAGAGACTATTGAGGGCTCAAAACTTAGGGGTCCTCAAAACAGGACGGTGTGGCGGAAGGTGTAGGCGTGGTACCCCAAGCAGTGCTACCCAACTTCTTCAGAACAACTGGGAACTGCTACCAGCATATTGCCATGCAAAAAGTAAATACATAAGAATCTGGCTGTCTGATTGCTAGATATGAAGTGAGTATGCCACGGCGCCCATACTGAAACCACCGCAACACGAGTGATCCACGCCGTTCCTGCATTCAATGACACTGGGAATGGACCAGACGTCACTAGAGACTCTGTAATTGCTGCTGCCATCGGGGCAGCCGCCTCAAAACCTGCTTTTCAGCGAACCCCCCGCTGGACTCCGAAAATCGATGAGGCGACCCAACCACCAAAGGCTAGGGGGAGAGCAGAGAACATCGTAGTCATGACATGCTCGCAGGCAAACTCGGTGACTTGACGAAGTTGCTCCACGAACAGGCCGGCTTGATAGGCTGTCCAGAGCACCAGAATACACAGACTTAATGTGATGCACGGCACGAGTAGGGGCAAGAACGAGGGTAGAGATCGAGGGGTAGGCTTTCCCGTCGGTGGTGAGGGAGTAAGAGTAGACCCAGTAGCGGTATCTGGGTCCGTCGTCGTCGCCTCCAGGCTCTTCGGGGTACTCGTTCAGGATAACTTAATCTGCTGGAGGGGTTCGGGTGCCCACGATCCTGCACTCGTCAAGTGGGCGTAGATCAACTCACCAATATCTTTGAACAGGGCCGTTTTTATCTGCTCCGAAGTCGCACCAAGGGAAGTGAATTTTGTGCGCCGCTGCACGATTCCCTTGCACGTCTTGACGGTGCTCCACCATTCGCCGTAGGCGATCTTCGCGTCGTTGTCGAGCGAGTCGGTGAGCTCGGTCATGTCGGGGCGGGTCTTGCCCACGCCCAGGTAGCCGATAAGCTCGATGTGCATCGTCTGGTTCGCGAGGTTGCCTGCCGGCGGGTCGGATGACAACGGGGCGAACTCGCCGTCGTCAGCGACGCCCCCCTCCCGCCTGGTACCGCGGCGGCCGCCTTTCCCACCAGCGGGAGTCCACGGAGAGGAGGGCTCGCGTGCAGCACGGCCTTCGAGCAGGGCACGAATCGCACGGCAGTCGTCGGCCGTCGTCTCCGAGGTCTTCTGCACCTCGCCAAGCTGGCGGCCCTGGGCGTCCACCGTCTTGGAGAGCGCGCCCATTTCCGCCCGCGGTCGCTTGAAGGCACCACTGGCCTCCAACGCCGCCTCGAACGTGTCCGAGTCGCGAGCCGCGCCGCCAACCATCGTCGAGAGGCGGTCGATCGTCGTCCGAAGGCGGCTGTCGCCTGACGGGCGAGCTCCCTGCTGGTCGCGCTCCCGACTCTCATGGACGGTGATCACGGCCTCGGCCATCTCGCGGGCTGGAGGGGTCGGGCTCGTGGTCGGCTGGACTGAAGGCTGGGTTGAGTTCGCGGGCTGCTGCTGCTGCTGCTGCGACAGCTGCGCTTGGCCCAGGGTCGCGCCGAGGGTGCTCATGGCCCCCAGCGCCTGCACCTTTTCCATGAAACCATTCATCTGCCCCACCATATCCACGAAGCCTCCTTGGGACTGTTGCTGCGGGACTTGTTGGGGCCAGTTCGGTGCGCCCCCGCAGCCGCCGCAGCGAGGAGCGAACGTCTTACCCCCGCCCTTGCCGTGCCAGGGGCGCCCACCGAAGCGCCCTTTCCCACCAGAAGGCATTCTGCAGCAGGAACTCAGCGGGACTGGTGGCGTGGAGGTGGGGGCAAGGCTGTAGCAATCTTGTTCAAAAAGAGCCAAAAGATGCTCTCGTCCAGGGACAAGGCGTTTGCAGGTCCTCGAAACTAGGTGAAAACAACATTGGGCAAGGTCTTCACGGGGCCCAGGAGGGAATACATCAACCCATCGACGTTTTACCTGGCGGGGGTGGTAGCCGAGGCGGAAGAAGAACAACATATCAACACAGATCAGGACCATCCAATTATCAATAGTCAGGTCATAAGTGCCCCAGCGGCGTAGCCTACCTTTAAGCTCACCTCGGAGTTGTCCTAGAACACGTGCAGAAAGAAGGCCAAGAAAGGGTGGGGGCGATTTCTCCTTGTAGTGTCTGGGGTCGCCCGTGACTGCGAAGGCCTCATTCTTGTGTATCATGAGCGTGCGTACGCCTGTATATGATATGCGTAGACCAACTTCAAAATATAACGCGACCACCGTACAACACACCAAAGGAGCTTGTTCAGGCTCAATATTGAACTTTACAATGCCAGAATACACGCCGTGCATAATCAGACCCAAGCAAGAAGGGCAATACAGGTTTGAGAATAACAACACATCGTCGGCATATAATCCAGTGCAGAGTGTTTGTTTTCTGTTTTTTTCATTTCATATCACAATGCAACTCTTGTTCGCTAAGTACAACATGTAGTACGTTACCCGAGAGAGGTCCTCCTAT